TCCCTTAATGATTAAACATCCTGGCCTAACCCCCAGTTAGCGTTAGGGTGTTTAGTTATCAGTTGAAATAAGCTGTGGGGGGCTACTCTTCAGAAGCTCGGTTTTCCAAGATAATTTACCCAACACTCGCAGCTCTCTAAAGATATCCTCGTCTTTGTTGAACACCAGTTTACCAATATCTTTGGTAACCTTGAGTATGATGACATAACCCCTTTTGTCATCAAGTCATCATGCTCGAGTGTTTAAATCATCGTGCTCATGAAGGGCTAACCTTTTCCTTCCCTCAACTGACTCACCTGTCTTATATTTATTCACGTCTATCAATGCAATCTGGTTTATGATCTATCCATCAAATACTACTGGTTCATATAGCAATTGGACTCAGTTATTGGTTCTTATAGGAATTAGACTCATAGCTACTGGTACTTATTGAAGTCAGATCCATCGAAGGAAGGAAAAAATATATATCTGTAATGGATGACGTCAACAGGTCTTATGTGACACAGGCATCATCTATTATTCAATGATCGTCTTTTTTAAGAGGTGAGACGCCGGGAAGGTGTTGTGAGCCGCTGCACAACACCCGTATTGACACGAACGACCTGGCCACATAGTCCAATAATCCTCTCAACACGGATTCTATGGCCATACTTAACAAGAACACTTCTCTAACGTGGATTCTATGGCCATACTGAACAATAACACTTCACTAACACGGATTCTATGGCCATACTTAATAATAACATTTAGGACTGGGACACAATCCTAGTAGTCTCACACCCACCTAGAATTACAGCAAGTTTTAGTGATATAATTTTCACAGTACAAAAAGAGTTTACATGAATCTTTGTAACGTAATACATTTACTAAGAATTTTGAAGATTGACATTCTTAATAACCGTATATTCAGTATATTTAGAAAATCTTCATGTACTTCATTATTTTCTAATTTACTTATTTATAGATTTCTGTTTCTATTATAAGTGAAAGACCGTCACTTTTATGCTTATAATCAGAATAATATTAGTACATTTATACCTTTCACGGAGGTAGAATAGGCAGTTCTCGCTTTAAGTCGAAGTTTTGTTTCCTGAAATCATCGACTTTAATGAAAACCGAAACTCCTGAAAGATGTAATATTATAAGGAGGGGTTCAGGTGCAGGGGTGTTTTGAGGGTTCCGGAAAGGGTAATTTATGGTCTCGTTTCCTCACCTGGTAGTCCTCGTGCAAAATAGTGATGTTCCAACAATTTTCCCCATAAGACTGTAAGCATATGTATACATGCTTCAATGATTTTTCCCCATATTTTGTTTGTAATTCTGACAGGTTTTAGAAGTAAATTCTTCTTCATGCTGTGTAAATACAAAAGGTCCCTCATAGTCTCACTTTAGGTCAATCATGTGAAACGAAATAACTTTGATCAGGGCGACGTTAAGCGAGTACTGTATTGCTGATATAGTACAAGTACATACCCTTACTACCACGTGCACTCTCCCCATAACACACGCTAGTCAAACACCCCTCCCCCCCAATAACACATTAAAACACAAGCGGCAGCACACAGCAAGCCGTCTCCAAGTTTCAGGTCCTATCCGAATTCTCAACTATTTTTCAATATCCATTTACTTGTTCAGCCTTGCCTAACAATACCACTGACCAACAACAATGTGCAGTGGACAAAATTGACGTTTGGAACTGAATGTTATTGTGTACAGAGCGTCTTTGCTTGCCAGACGCATAATACTCACGAAAAATATAAAACGATACATAACACCGAGGCTTTCCGTGTTCAAAAAAGAGCCAGTGTGAGAAGTACCAACCCATGGTCTGTAATTTTTCATCGCAAAAACAGCACAAAGGAAGAAAAAAATATGTTCGTAAAAAATCCTACAATGAAAAATATAGTTTGTACGTTCATATATTGATAAATTTGGGAAAATATATTTTCTTTAACTTGTTATTACGCCATCTGTAACACGCCTTATGGATTTCAAGATTGATGGAGATGTTTTGTAAATTCTCAGAAGCTGCGTGTAACTCCCTCCCACCCCCCCCTACACACACGCACACAGGCACGCATACCAGAGAGAGAGAGAGAGAGAGAGAGAGAGAACTGTTTTGCAATTATTGTTTGTCAACGGCCAAAGCCAAATCTACAGGAAACAAGAGACAAACACTTCACTATTTAACGCACGTATTTAAATGGAGAAAAAAAGGTCCTACAAGGCTTGATTACTCTCCTATAATAGCCTAATTTATTTGGTCACACCCAATGTACATTTTACACCGTCGTTATTCATTCATGTCAGTGTTGTGAGAAAGTCTCATAAATGATTACTGTCAAGACATTGTTTTAACTCGTGTCATAAACATCATAAATTTATAAAACCACAAATATATCAAAAACGAAATTTGGAAAAACCTTGAAAAATCACCCAAATATAATACTATTCAAAGTTACAGTGAAACTTCTATTTAACGAAAATGTGGAGAGGAAAGTCCGTCATATCCATTCTGATAGATGTAAAATATCTAACTAACAGACAAACTAGAGTCTAGATATAAAAGTCTGTTATATCGAGGGTCCGTTAGATGTGAAAACCCCCATTCTAAAGGATGAAATGGAGAGAGAAGTGCGTTATATGGAGGTTTCATTGTACCTCCTTATACAGTACCGTATATGTCAGTTAACAATAAAAATAAAATGTGCTGACTTGACTTTAATAAGACCAAGATTACACTTCACCAGGAAGATTACTCGATTCATTAGTTACAAAGTTCACTCATACAAAAAATTATTTAAAATAATAACTATTATACATTAATTATAATGTGATAGAACGCAAAACAACAAACAACCAAATTAGTCTAATTTAAACACAATTTCTTACTTATTTTTCAAACTAAATTGAAAACAAAAATAAAATAGATACGAGTGCAGATATTTCTGAAAACTTGAAAAAAGGAAGATACAAAAGTACAGTACACGTACGGAACATAAGAACTGAAGCTGGTCTATTGGCCCATACTAGGCAGTCCCGCCCAACCCCTATCGCTCATATCCAGCATGTCCCAGTTAATGATGATGTTCGGTAACTTGTTCCACTCATCCACAACTCTATTTTCGAACCAGAGTTAACCTATCGCGCGCCTAAATCTAAATTTGTTTAATTTAAAACCATTGCTATCAACATAACATAAGAACATAAAAATGGAGGAAACTGCAGCGGGCCTATTGGCCTATACTGGGCAGTCCCGTTTACACCCAACCCCTATTGCTCATATAAGCATCCAACCTATGTTTGAAGCTATTCAGCGGATTCGAGTTAATGATGATATTTGGTAACTTGTTCCATTCATCCACTACTTTGTTTCCAAACCAGTGTTTACCAATTTCACGCCTAAATCTAAATTTGTCTAATTTAAAACCATTGTTACGAGTTCGCTCCTGGTTGGATAGTTTGAGTACCTTTATAATGTCCCCTTTGTTTAGCCCTGCCTTCCACTAATACACCTCTATCAGGTCGCCCCTCGCTCTACGTCTCTCGAGGGAGTGCAAATTAACATGCTTTAACCTGTCTCTATACTCAAGGTTCCTGATGCCCGGGGTTAGTCTTGTCATTCTCCTCTGAATTCTTTCCAAGGATTCTATATCCATTCTGTAATATGGTGACCAGAACTGAACTGCATAATCCAGGTGTGGTCTCACAAGAGCAAGATACAGTTTTAGGATGACCTCGCTAGTCTTGTAACTAACACTCCTTTGTATGAACCCAAGTACTTTATTAGCCTTGTTACGAGCAAAAACACATTGTTTACTTGGCTTAAGGTTCCTACTTATCATTACTCCTAAATCTCTCTCTCGCAGTCGGATTTCTCTATGGCATCGTTGTTCATCTGGTATCTGGTTTCCCTGTTTACATCTCCTATACTGAGTACTTTACATTTGTCCACGTTGAATTTCATCTGCCATTTTTCAGACCATTCGAAAAATTTGTTTAGATCTTCCTGTAGTTTTGCGGAGTCCTCGTCAGATTTAATAACACGTCCTATTTTAGTGTCATCAGCAAATTTGCTTTTGTTGCTGTCTATGCCGATATCTATGTCGTTTATGTATATAATAAATAATAATGGTCCAAGTACTGAGCCTTGGGGAACTCCACTTGTGACGTTGCTCCAATGGGAATTAGTGCCATTAATGCTCACTCACTGCTTCCTGTCCTGTAACCATGCCCTAATCCATTTAAGGATAATACCTTTGATGCCATGTGCTTCTACCTTTCTAGTATGTTATTCTCCTGGTGGGTTTGACTATATGTTGACTTAGGAAACAGCCCTGTCCTTAACTATATTATCGCCCATTTCGTCTACCAAAGGACTAAAAGAGTTATTACACTTAGCTGTTGTTGTTTTATTTATTTTGTTTTTGTTTTTCACCATCAGTTATATAGCTCCTCTCCTCACTTCCTTCCACTGGTCTGTGTTGTCGTCAGACACAGACTCTCCCAGTCTCGTATCATCCCCCTTTATCCTCGAAATCACTTCCTTTAACCTCAAGTTTTTGCCCTTAACCTACCTTTAAGTCAGCCTTCAGAGAAGCACAGAACTATTCACAACTAACACTAGACACAGTTGTACTGTCAGTTAATCCCCGGAAGCTAAAACTGTATTCCCCAGCCAGAACTGGGAAATATTCAGTCACGCGGTGTCTCCAGCTGAGAGGTTAACAATTATACATACTACAACAAATTAATTTATTATTTATACCTACTATCTCATGCAATGTTTTCAGGATCTTCGAAAATTTGGTCGGAGATTCTGTACTCCTGATTATACTCGTATGAGATCAATCAAATTAATTTACAGATGTGCCCTAATGAATGACGTGTGAAATTTCGACATTCTCACACTGGAAGATGTAATCTGAATGTTGTCATGTTTTTGGTTGTCATATAACATGTTCTGCCTTAAATATGTTAACAGTTGTTGCTGTGTGCAGGTGTGGTGCCCCAGGGCGTGTTGCTGCGTCAGGGTCGGGCTGTGTGGGCGGCGGCAGCGGCGGTAGTGCCTCTTTGCTGGTATCACTTCTGCCTGGCACTCACACCCACAACTGTCTCTCTCTTCCTCGACTCGCGCCATCTACTCCAGGTCAACCCCGTCACCGATTTCTTCAAGGGTCAACTTCGGGTTATAATGGGTGGGAGCGTCATCTGGCCTGACCTGTCCCCTTCCACCTTCAGCTTCTCTAAGCCTTCAGACGCCCAGTGGGAGACTCTGCGTGCTTCCAGGGCCATGCACGCTTTCGCAGGGTCCTTTGCCGGGGACCTGGTGGCTCCTAACGTATGGAATAGGGAGTTAACAGACACTGACGTGAAGACCCTGGTCAGCTGTCGAGGTTTATCCCTCAACCCGCCCCTCCCAGCACTCAACTGGCAGCAGCACGGGGAAAACATAACACAAACTTCCATGAACACGAGTGAGCCTTGTAGAAGAAGACTCTTCGATTATTTATTATTTCCAGAACCAATGAATTTTCAAGATAATTATGAATTGTGTGTTAAGTTAGACATGGAAATGATCAGACCCCGTAATGGTGGTAACTATGAGAGTTTGTTTGATGATATCACGAGTTACAGTGCGTGTGGGAGCGGGCGGCGGGTGTTGTGGCTGGGGGATGACGGTAATGGCTGTCCTGCTCTCACCAGATCAGGTCAGGAGTCCGCCCCCTGCTTCTCTCAACTGTGTGGGGGGTGCCAACTCCCGCCGCCTGGGAAACATCGTTTATTTATTATGCGAGGATTATGTTCTCTCCCCAATACAGACTTGGCCTTCATGGCGGCGTCTAGCACGTCTGCTCGCCTCTACTTCCAGGGAGTAGAGCGTTATAACATAACGTCAGTCCAGGACACGTGGGAACTCCGTGACGGGGCCACGGGTGACATACTGGCCTCCACAAACGGCACTGATCCACTCGGGATTCGTAAGTGGCAGGTGACTTCGGATTTGTGTGGTGTCAGTGCCAAGCAGGTGGTGGGGGCGTCGCTGACTGCCTGTGGGAAGCATCAGGCACTGTGTAGGTCGGGGGAGTGTATATCCCTGACGAAGCGCTGTGACGGCTACCCTGACTGCCCTGACGGCTACGACGAAAAAGAATGCCAGCCAGTCCGACGGCCAGAAGGTTATCTAATAAACTCTCCTCCACCTCAGCCGCCTGTTGACGTAGGTCTTACCATAGAAATTACACGGGTGGCGTCAACGGAGCCGCTGACGGTGCTGCTCTACACCAAGCTCTCCTGGGAGGATCCGCGTCTCACCTTCGCCAATTTGCGTTACGACACAGATATCCCTGTGCCTCTGAACTCCATAATGTGGCGCCCCCGTCTCCTAGTTTTGACGCCGGGAACAGCAGCGCCCGAGGACCTACTGAAGAAGTCGCAGGCCACGTCTGAGGAGCAGGGAGAGGTTAGCGCGTCCCTCACAGTTCGTACCATCGCCCAACCTATCCCAGACAACAGGTCCACGCCAGCTATTGGTGAGTAAATAATCTACTACTTTATTGCCGTCTTACAAATAGTTTAACAATAATTTTTTGGAAACTGAAAGTGGTGTATTTTAACAAACTCTGTTTACGGAGCGGCCAAACGTGTCTCCAGCTCCTGCCCTTAGTAATTAAACTACAGTCTATAGAAGCCTTCAGTCAGTCCTCATTAAAAGAGAAAGATGCACATAGTTGGTGAGTGAGTGTGACAGTGTTCCCGTCCTTCCCTGTAACACACACACACACACACACACACACACACACACACACACACACACACACACCAGGTCACAGCACTTAAGGGCCGAGTATCAGCAAAAGACCCCAGAGGTGCCATTGACAGACAAGTCTCCGGGGGTAGTTCTCACCAGTCATCATTATCGTCCCTTGGTGTTGTTCTTAGTCTCAAAATGATTACCGTGAGTGTCTGCCATGATAAACCATGATAAAATAAAAATTACCCAAATGGATAAATAATTAAATAAAAAATCATTATTGGACAAAGGAAGGCTATGGGTAAGAGAATCAATCGTGGTGAAGTTTACTTCCGAAATTATTATAAAGTATTGGCCAGTAAGGGTTAAGACAGAGATAAGAAAAGCAAAGAGAAATAGTGAGCTAAAAGTTGCAAGGGAGGCGAAGTTAAACCCTAAGGGATTCTTCCAAATGTATCAAACTAAAACACGAGACAATACAGTCAGATACCAACGAGCTAACTGATAACGACAGAGAAATGACCAATAATCTGAACAGATATTTTTCATCAATTTTCACAACCGAAAATTAAAAAAAAAATACCAGAGGCACCAACTATATACAGAGATAGTGACGAAAATATATTACGCGAGATAGTAGTGACTAGTAACTGAAACCTAAGAAGTCCTGAGGCCCCAACGATATTATTGCCAGAGTATTAAAATAAAAACTTAGTATGCCCTTAGCAAACATGGTTAACATGTCATTAAAACGGGTGTAGTACCAGAATCCTGGAGGATAGCGAATGTGATATCGGTTTTCAATATTCTCTAAATACCATCCAATCAGTTTAACATCAATTGTAGGAAAAAACTGGAAGCAATAATTCCAAACTGAATTCGAAATCACCTCGAGAAACACAAATTGATCAATGATTCCCAGTATGGCTTCAAAATGGACGTTCGTGTCACATAAATCTATTATCATTCTTTTCGTTGTATTCGAATCAGTGGATGACGGACACGATTACGATGTGGTTTACCTTAAATTTAGCAAAGCCTTGGACAAGGTTGCCCCTTGAAAGACTGAAAAGTAAAGTGGATTTTGGCGTGGTTACAGGTCGGGAAACAATGAGTCAACATTAACAGCACTAAATCCGATTAGGCTAACGTCACAAATGGAGTACCCCAAGGCTCAGTACTTGGACCATTACTATTTATTACATACATAAACAACATAGATATAGGCGTAGACAGCAATATAAGCAAATTTGCTGACGACACTAAATTAGGACATGTAACTAAATCTGACAAGGACTCTGTAAAATTTTCCATAGGAAGATCTGAAAAAAAAATTTCACATGATCTGAAAAATGGCAGACTAAATTTTACTGTGAAAAGTGTAAAGTATTTAGCCTAGGAGATGTAAACAGAGAAACCAGCAATCAAATGAACAACGTTGATATAGAGAAATCCGAAAGCGGGAAAGATTTAGGGGTAACGATAAGTAGGAATCTTAAACCAATACAAAGGAGGATGGCAAGACTAATCCCGGGTATTAGGAACCTTGATTACAGAGACAGATTAAAGCCAATAAATTTGCACTTCCTCGAGAAACGTAGAGTGAGGGGCGACATGATAGAGGTGTATAAATGTAAGTCAGGGTTAAAAAAAAAAAGGTGATTTAACAAAGTACTTAAATTAATTATCCAACCAGGAGCGAACTCGCAACAATGGTTTTAAATTAGACAAATTTAGATATAGGCGAGATACGTAAACATTGGTTTGGAAATTGAGTAGTGGATGAGTGGAACAAGTTACCAAACATCATCATTAACTGGAACATGCTGGGTAGCTTCAAATATAGGTTGGGTGATATATGAGCGATAGGTGGCCGGTAATAAAGTCACAGGAAAAAAAGTCACATAAAAAAGTCACAATTTTGGCTAGGAAAAAAAGTCACAGGTAAAAAAGTCACAATTAATTTATGGTGGCCGGTAATAAAGGCACAAGAAAAAAAGTCAAAAAAAAAAGTCACAATTTTGGTTAAGAAAGAAAGTCAGGTAATCAAAAAAAAATATTCAAGTCAGTCACAGTTTATTTAAGTACCATAAACAATTAAAGTAATAAAACTGAAAATATTTTAATTCAGTTATTAACTGGCAATACATTGACAACACTATTTATATATGATGGCATTACATGTATGTGAAAACAAATCACGTTTTGTTCAATATCTTAAGCACAGTAAGGTAATCAAACAAAAATATTTAAGTCAGTCATTTATTGACAGTACATGACATGTACAGATTGAAAACAGCTTACAGAATATCATGGCATTACATGTATATTCAGTGTTTTTAATGCTGATGATTAAGACGAATATTCCAGCCCGATTATACAAAGAATCTAATGTTTTTGTTCTATTTTATAATTTTTAAGCGAAACTCATTAATTTACCATCAGTTCTGCATATTCCTTTACTGAAACTGATTGACATATTAACCTTAAAAAATGTGAGAATTCGATAGTTAACTTTTCTTTTTTTCCTGTGACTTTTTTTCCTGTGACTTTTTTCTGTGACTTTTTTACCTGTGACTTTTTTTTTACCTGGATTCGAGCGATAGGGGTTGGGTGTAAACGGGGCTGCCCTGTAGTGGCAGTTTCCTTCATTCTTATTTTATCTTTTTATAACCTTGTACTGGGAGGATTTGCCTTACGTCGTCTCTAGGTTTAGACACCTATATTCACCCTATTCTCTCCGCCGTGATGTTGCATCTTCATTTCGCCTCTATTGCTATTTTTTATAGCTTATCATCCTGCACACCTGAACACCACAACTTTTGCAAGCTTAAAGACGCCAGACCTGACCTATCCTGACCTAATCCACCCTGACTTAACGTAACCTAACATTACCTTAACTGGCTTAATCCAACATCACTTGATCTGACATGACCTGTACTAACCTGACCATACCTGACCTCTACACACACTCTAGACACCTGACCATACTTAACCTAACTGTTTAATAATAGTCATCACGGTGTGGGCAGACAGTGTTATTCCACATCTTACCTGGTGAACGTAAACACAGGTAGGAGGAACTTGAATGAAATATGACACCGTGATCTTGACCTATGACAGCTGACTAAAACAAACCTCGACCTGTTCCAGCTGTTAACTAAAATAATTACAATTTCAAAGTTTGACGTCAGTAACTCCAATCGTTCAACAGAGTGTGTGTGTACGTGTGTGTGTGTGTGACTACTCCAATTGTTCAGGAGAGAGAGAGAGAGAGAGAGTACTCCAATCGTTCAACAGTGTGTGTGTGTGTGTGTGTAAGTACTCCAATCGTTCAGGCGTGCGTGTTCATGTGTGTACAACTACATGAAAGGTGAAAATTATGACCTTGAATGCTTTAAAAAAATAATGAATGATAAGTAAACAAGACTGTCAGTAACGTGGTCAGCTTTTCGCCTGCACTTGTAACCCCAAGAGGCCGTAACTCTTATAATAAATATTGGTTCTCCGTCACGTCTATGATAGTGTTATACCAAAGAATCCATTGTTGTTTGTTTGAGTTATCGAATCACCTGAAGATTAACCACTCCAGCTTATTTCACTTGAAGATTAAATACTCTTAACCTAACCTAACCTAACCTAACCTAACCTAACCTAACCTAACCTAGCCCTCCACAGGTAGCGTTAGGTATTTAAATTATTAGGTGACGTAAGTAGCGGGTGGTTAATATGTAGGTGAAATAAGCTGTGTATGGGGGACGAGGGACTAAGTTCAGGTGAGATAAGCTGAGGGGCTAGACATAAGTGATCCAAGTTGGCAAATGGACGGACGGGCGGGCTTAAGGACGGAAAACATGCTCCATCTCTCTCTCTCTTTCCTAACTCCTTCCCACATGACCCTCCCCCCCCCCCCTTAACACAGTATCCACTACATTATGGACGCTGTTGACACACCCGACGTCACTTTAGCCCAAACTTTGAAAACACGTCAGATAGTTCCTATATTCTTTGCACTCTAACCTGGCCCGTTAAGCCCCGTCCCTCGTGTATTGGTTCATGTGGAAAATTAGTAAATACAATAAGGAAAAAAGGCCATAGTTTCGATTTGTATGGGTCCCTTCACATGTGGGCATTGGTCTTAATGAAGCAGTTGATATAATAGCAAAAAGAGCCACGGAAAAGGCCGACATCGACATATGTATTAAAACCTTGAAACAATTAAGGAGCAAATTACGGAAAATACAATCAATAGAAGGTAATTTAAAAAGGAATGAAATATATGAGAAAAGTGAAACAATGAAACATTACCATCATGTTTTATGAACACAAATTTTACATATGGGAAAGATAAGAGCAGATGGAAAGATTCAGTGTATATGAGGTTAAGATCAGGATGTAAATATTACTGGGAACTTGGAGCTGAGAGAAGTGAACAGGATAAGGAATGTAGAGTTTGTAGAACATCCAGATCCCATACCCTGCCACATTATATACTGGGATGGCCATTACTTCTTAATGTATATAGCAATGCCCAGATAAATAATGTCCCCAAGCAAATAGAGCGGATGTTTAAAAATAGATGATTAAAGAAATATAGAACGCTTACATCTAGAATATAACTGTATTTACTATAATTGGCTATATGAGATATATCTGTATTAGGGATTTATGTGAGTCCTGAGAGGGATATTCCTGGACTGGGGTGGGGATGACTTATGTCACTTCATCCCTTAGAGATGTATTTTTTTTTTTGTATCTCAATAAACGTATCAATCAATC